AGATAATAAAATTTAATCTACAAATTTGGTGCTTTTTTTTAAATTCCCATGGATTTCATGTAATGTTTAATGTTTCAAATTCAATAGCCCGCGACACCGGACGTTTTTCTGTCAATCAATTTTTTTGTATCAAGAATTCACAAAACATGGATTCTGGCTACACATGATAGAGGAAATAATTTACTGTATGTGTATGTAGGTTTATCCATTATTACTTTCCGGTATACGTGCGTATATACGGAGTCTAGGAAAAGTTAATGCCTCGGGAAAGAAAGTTCGAGATTTCAACGGAAACTTTTTCCAAATTGAAGAAACTCCTGTACATCTACCTCGTGTCGAAGCTTTGGGATTTTGAAAAACATTCTTTAATATTTGGGGTACTTTACATGAAGCCCTCCGGACATTTTGAGAATTTTCTCAGAATCTGTCCCATTATTTAAAAAAAATATTGTAAGAATAGAGTAATATACTCTCATCATGCCGGCTGATAACTCTAAATTTTTGAAAATTGCAAAAGGTTAGGTTTTCCGGGGTCTTCCTACAAATACAATATTGAAGATGAAAGAACTATGGAAATAATTTTATTTGAAGGAAAAATCTTTTATTAAGGTCATGAATATTTTTTGAAAATTTTAGTAGTTTTTGTTCAATATTGCGAACAATATGTGAATTTTTAAAAACTTACAAAAACAAGATTTTCTTAAAGCTCCAAATTTGTTCTTTATACTTTTGTAAAGGATAGTGCTAATTGTACTTCATAATGACATAAATGTTATATTGCTCTATTTTTTAGTTTTTTCAAAAATTACAAAAATATATTTTTTACTTTTGTTGCTAATGTTTATATTTGCGACAATTTGTTTACATTATTGTATTTACGAGTACGTGTGCTTTAAATGTCGTAAAATGTTTCGAAAACTCAACCATTTTCTGTGACAATGAGCTCAAAATTCCACATTTTCAGAAACGTGCAAATGGCATTTCCACATAAATGGCTCTAATTTCTTTCTTCGAACTTTTCGAACTGATAATTATAATTGCACTCTTTAATATGACGTAAAGTTCATTCCGCGGTATCATTTGTTTTTTTAAAAATTACTGTTTTTTGAAATATCTTACGCTGTTAATATGCACATTTCAAACAATTTGTAAATACTTTAATTGTTTGTTACTGTGCTTCAAATGACTCCTAATGAAGTTTTTCGAAAACTCAAATTTTCAATTGCTTCAAATTTCGTATTTACAGTAGCTCTTAAGCGCAATTTCCTGTAAAACGGCTCCAAATTTTTCGTAGGAAATTGCCATTTAGGACGAGGTTTTACTGTTATTTAATATTCTTAAAATGTTTCCTTTTTATTATTAGGAAATCGAAAAATTAAGAAAATTGACGAAAAATGTACATTGAGCGACGATAGCAGCTGACAAGAATATGTGGAAAGTTTGTATTGCTAGCAGAGACAAATGGAATTGGGAAACTAATACGGGAAAGTCTGTGCGATTCTGTAGCACCACTTTTTCGTTATTAGGGCCCGGTAATAAGAGTCGAAAAGTCTTTTTTCTGGCTGCATTTCAATTCTTCCATAGAAGCTGTAGCGGGAAAATAAAAACAAGCTAATTATGATCGGTTTGGGTGATTTACGGCACCTACAAGGTATTTTAGTTGCTTAAAAGAAAAAATCGTTGTTTGCGAGAAATTTCGAAGTGTTTTGGAAATGGGCAACTTTAAAAAACGATCGGCTGTCCACCAGGAGACAGAGGCGTTAAATGACACCTTGGTGGTCTTGATTGGTGACGAGGTCTAACCCGGACGGACGACGGCTACTAGACGAGGTTTACGCAAGCTAGAAGACATGTGACTAGGTGATACCGAGACAAGCGCGAACGAACGGATTATTCCTATGACCCAAGAGTAGTGTCACATACGTGATACAGTGGTTACAGAATACGAAGGTTTCCTTTTATGTTTCGGGATTTGGCAACCGTGGTGTTGCAATCTGGCAACTGACAACTCTATAGTAAAGTTGGATGTTTTTTAAGGTTATACGTACTCAGAACGTTTTGACAAACGAACGCTATTTGTGTTGTTTACAGTAACTTAAAAGATTCATCTTGGCCCTAAAATGGGATTAAATCGTGAACATTTTCGTGCGATTATTTTTTACAACTTTCGACGTAGATTAACTCAGCAACAGTGCATGGATGAACTTAATTCAATTTTTGGCGATGAAGTTCTAAAGACCAGTCTTTGTCGATTGTATGGTGAATTCAATCGTGGTCGTAGTTCACTCCAAGACGAATTTCGCGAAGGTCGTCCAAAATCAGTTGTTCCGAAAACCATTGATGATGATATTGCAAGATCGTGTGACCTATCGTGAGATTGAGACAACCTTAGGCATTAGTGGGACCAGCATACATTCAATATTGCATGAACATTTGGCTGTCAAAAAAATTTGTTCGCGTTGAATCCCACACAATTTGTCAATCGCTCAAAAAAGGCTCGAGTCGATTGGTCGAAAGAAATGCTCCAAAAATACGATCGCGGTGCTTCGAAACAGGTATATGACATCGTGACAGGTCGACAGACGAATCGTGGATTTACGCGTATGAGCCCGAAAGTAAACAGCAGTCGACTGTATGGGTGTTTCAAGATAAGCAAAATCCAACAAAAGTTGTTCGCGTACGAAGCATTTCCAAACAGATGATCGCCTTTTTTTTTTTTTCTTTCGGAAAAACTGGACATGGCGCAACCCTACCACTAGAACAACGCATAACAGTCAATTGTGAGTGGTACACAACGATTTGTTTGCCAGCTGTCTTCAGAGAAATCAGGAAAATCAACCGCCGAAGACGGATCACTCTTCACCACGACAATACGAACTCTCTCACATCGGCTCAAACAACAGCATTTTTGAGCACCCAAAACATTTGATGTGTCATCCGCCGTATAGTCCTGACTTGGCACCGAATGACTTTTTATTCCCGTACGTAAAAAAACAAACTGAGAGATCAAAGTTTTTCGACACCCGAAGAAGCGGTTGCTGCATTCAGAATGTATGGTTTGGAGATACCTCAATCAGAGTGGCAAAAGTGCTTCGACAATTGATTCAAACGCATGCAAAAGTGTATAGATCTTCATGGGGAATATTTTCAAAAACAATAAAGTGATTTTCGATGATTTAATATTGGTTTTCGTTCTCTAATCCTGAAATGTAAAAGGCAACCGTACATGTGTACTGCCTTTACATCGAGTTATATGTAAATGTTTTGGCAATCTTACGTATAAGCTTTTTTATTTATTTTTTTCTGAGATTTCGACAAATTTCTCTCATTATATGAAGTGGGAGAAAGCGGACTGAGACGTAGTAGCTCTGCGGAGGCTGCGGTTTCGAGATTCCGCAGTGTGACGCAGCAGCGAGAGCGCCAGCGACGGTTTGGCTGCCGCCCCAACCCGAATGTACTTAGCCCAGTAACGAAATACGGTGTTAAAAGGGTACGTTGGGCGTGCAGAATGAACGCAGTATGCCCCTGGCCGCTTACTTTCGAAGATCATTTTCTTTCTCTATTACTAAACATTAGCAATACTAATATTAGAAATAATTAATTTTCCCTCCAATTTTATTCTTCTGTGCATTTCTTATTTTATTCTTGTAGTTACCTAGTTTTGTCGCAGGTAGGGGATAAGTTAACACGAAGCAGCGTGATGTTAGTGCATACACGCCAAAAGTATTCACGTGTAAGCAAAATTGCGTAAACTGTGAGGATCTGAATTAGTGACAAACGCACGGGAGACTGAAATTCTTGGCATTTCCAGAAGAGTGAAATTGGGATAGCCTTGTCCTTGCAGGAACTACTTCCATACCCTCTTGATATAGCGGAAGTGAAACTGCTCTGTAATGTATATGAATTATCCTGTAATGAAATTTTAACAGGTTCCCTAAAGAGAGGAGAGAGAATTTACAGCGTTTGACTTGCGTGTTTATAAAGAAATATAACTATTTGTCAGCTTTTAAAGGAAAGGGGCGACTACGAGTCCCCCCCATTTTTTCGAAATTGCATCAACCTCTAAAAGTATAAACTGAGGCTTTATTCGATAAAATCATTCAAAATATTCATAAACCTATACATAGTTCGGGGAGAATTTTCCCGCATATGTGCTTGCAGAAATGCATAGCTATTTCAGTTATTCAATGTTAATAGATCAACAAACACCTTTCAGGTAATGGGTGTTTATTTTTTATAACCAATAAAGGTATTCAAGCATTATACTCACGCACTATAAAGTTAAATACTCCCGGGCCTAGTAACGAAAAAGTGGATAAATCTTGTGTATTTATTGTAATCACTTCCTCTAACGCAATGTATAGTAAAAACCCATGTTTGGTCGATCCTTAATTTCGAAAACATAGTTTGTGGTGAAACCTCAATAAGTCGGTTAGTGAACAACGCCACCAGGTACACCGTATGTAGGATTTTAACCAAAATTTATTTCTCTTATACATGCGCAGTATTCTCAATGTCTCTGCTGATGTTAAGATTTTTCAATTTTTTTCAGGGGGGGTGTACTTTTTGTAAAGTCACAACACTTTTCAAATGTTTACCAAAAATGGTTTTAATTTTTTTCTTGAAGTTTGTTCCTGATATGAAGCAAGAGACGCAATAAAAAAAATGTAAGAAAGTTCCTGAACGATCGGCAGGTACAGCACGTGGCATTAGCAGATCTTTCAGGTGTTGATACATAGCAGCTGGGAAGAGTGGGGCAAAACCAAAAAGCTAGCTCAGGCTCAAGAGAATAGGAAATAGTCTGTGCCAGTTTTATATCACCACTAGCTTGTGTTTATTAACAATTAAATAAATAAAATATTAAATATATTGAAATAGGTGTGAAGGTTTTAAAAATTTATTTATAAACAAGGGTACTTTAATCAGAAATATTTATATATTATGCACCAATACAAGGCATTAGATAATTACTTTTACCACATTCAATTTGCATGTTTTAGGAGACTCCTTGTCATCTATTTCTGAATTGTTGGGGTTGAACCTGCCACGAAGTACATTATTAGGAACTCCTAGTCACAGTCCTGCTGCAATTCAAGCTGCTGCAAGGCATTATCAGGTAATCGATGTACGCTCACTCCTTTATCGAAATTTGTCAAATATTTCTTTTAATTTACAATAACAAAATTTGATTTTCAGTGTGAAGATTATAAGATAAGTGAAATGCCAATTTCTCTGAAAGTTCTCCAGAGAAACTTGGATACAATTCACTCAGCACAAACACCATATTATCCACGGCCATTTCGTGACTCACCGCCATACAGGTTTGTACTAAGACAAGTTTTAATTAACTTCAAAGAGTCTAAATCATTGAATATTATTATTGGTATTAACAGTGACTGTGGTAGCCCTACTCTTGAACAAGCAATTATGATGACTTGTGGCAGTGGCAGTGGAGGTTCCCGTTCTAATTCACCAGCTGATTCTGATACCAGTACAGGGGGACTTAGTATGAACAGCATCGAAGGAAATATAAATGACCTAATGGTAGGTATAGAAGAGTTTATTTAGGTAAATTTACCACTCCCTACCAATTCATCTTGCCCTTGTATACTTCTGGAAAACACTTCGATAAAATACACATTTTTCATTATCCATTACCCTTCTTTTCCCCTGTTCTTTATAGTGCAATTTTTGGGTTTATATATAATTTTTGTAAACTTGTATTTTTCTTAGGTCATTTTCTTAATCTGTGTAATTTTTGTTTTTCATTATTTTTCAGAGCTGTTTTTCTTTGGGACAAGATGCTGAACTTGCACCATTCCACGGTATACCATCTCTGCGTTATTTGCAGCAGCACCAGCAACATCAACATCAACAACAGCAGCAACAGCAACAGCAGCAACAGCAGCAGCAAGCTTTTAAATCTAATATATTGTCTCTGTTGCATTACCCCCATCCATCATCTCCAGAAAAGCTATGGCCTACAGCACCTGCATCACTACCAATAGCATCTGCTGCTGATGCAAGTGTCCTTGAGTTAGCTGCAAGATTTCATCGTAATGCTGCATGTATGTGAACACAGAATCATTATGATCATACATGAGGAATTATGTTCCGATAAATTTGGGCATACAAGAGAATGTTATTGTTAGAATAATATTTCTGGCTACTTCACAGCTAGCAGCTGACATGGGAGAGAGAGTTCCATTACTCAGTCAAAGCTTTCAAATTCTGATGGCACAGCAAAGTTGCCGATGCTTATTAAGATAAAATTAGTCTTACAGTGTGAAGTAACTAAAGTGTGGTCTACAGTTCTCATTGCAATTTGTTTCTTGCTACTAAGCCCATTAGTGTAATCTGATACACGAATGACCATGTGTATGTCGTCAAAGTATGTGGTAGCATCTCTCTACCCCCACCTACAACTGTCAAGTAGACTGGATTATTATTCGGACAATACAGCATTCCCAATATTGATCATTAAAATGAAAAGCCATGAATTTGGTAGTAGACTTGGTAATCTTCTGGTTTTTATTCCTCTTTTCTCTTTTATTTATTTCTTCCTCTTTTCTGTCTTTTATTTATTTCTTCCTCTTTTCTTGGTCTTTTATTTATTTCTTCTCTTTTCTATCTTGTATTTATTTCTTCCTCTTTTCTAGTCTTTTATTTATTTCTTCCTCTTTTTCTATCTTGTATTATTTCTTCCTCTTTTCTATCTTTATTTATTCTCTTCCTCTTTTCTATCTGTATTTATTTCTTCCTCTTTTCTATCTTGTATTTATTCTTTCCTTTTCTATCTTGTATTTATTTCTCCTTTTCAATCTTGTATTTTATTTTCCTCTTTTCTACTTCTGTATTTATTTCTTCCTCTTTTCTATCTTTATTTACTTCTTCCTCTTTTCTATCTTTTTATATATTTCTCTCTTTTTTTCTCTCTCTTTTTTATATATTTCTCCTCTTTTTTTCTCTCTCTTTTTTATAATATTTCTTCCTCTTTTTTCTCTCTCTTTTTTTATATATTTCTTCCTCTTTTTTTCTCTCTCTTTTTATATATTTCTTCCTCTTTTTTTTTTCTCTTTCTTTTTTTACTTATTTTTTATTATTTCTTCCTCTTTTTTCTTCTCTCTTTTTTATATATTTCTTCCTCTTTTTTTTCTCTTCTCTTTTTTATATATTTCTTCCTCTTTCTTTTTTCTCTTTTCTCTTTTTTCTCTTTATTATCTTCTCTTTTATATATTCTCTTCCACCTCTTTTTTTCTCTCTCTTTTTATATATTTCTTTCCTCTTTTCTGTTGACTTCCCAATTTTATATCCTATGCATCATTGGGTACTACCATTATTTTACAAAATTTAATTTAGTAGACATCTCTATTTGACACTTTCGTTTAAAACTTCAATTAAATGGTTCAGTTGTTCCCTTGTTCGTACATATTTAGTGTCTAAATATATGCTTCCAATTATACTATGCAGTGAATGGGTGTCAGTTTATTTACTTTACAGACAATAATTACTTCTGGTCTCTAAGAAAACCCTTTTTCAAAGTCTATGAAAAGGATGCTGGCAAAAAGCATTAACAACATTTAAATTAGTTGTTTTTGAGCATATGAGCGCTTTTTGTGGAATCAGTTTGTTTCTGACAAAACTTTTTCACTTATTTATTAAACCGTTGTAATGATTTGAACATGGAATTTGTATCCAGTATTCAGAAGTATAATTGCCTAAGTGTAATTTTTATTACTCTCACATTTCCTGGCTTAAATGTTAGATGTTTTGGATTCCGTTGGCTCTTCTTCTTTTTTTCTTCTTTTCCGATTTCTCTTTTTCCCATTTCTTTTCTTTTCTTTTTTCTTCCTCTTCTTTTCTTTGTCTTTTTCTTTTTTCTTCAAAATTGCATGTCTCTGGTGCTGCTGCCTGTCTGGCTGCTGCCTGTCCTGTCCTGCTGCTTCTTGTGCCTGCCTGCCTGTCTCTGTGCCTGCCTGCCTGCCTGTGCCTGTGGCCTGCCTGCTGTCGTCCTGCCTGCTCTGCGCCTGTCTGTTGCCTTGCCTGCCTGCCTGCCTGCCTGTCTGTGTGCCGCTGCCTGCCTGCCTGCCTTGCCTGTCGTTGCCTGCCGCCTCTCGTTGCTGTGCCTGCCTGTCTTTCCTGCCTGTCTGTCTGTGTGTGCCCTGCCTCCTGTCGTGCCTGCGGCCTGCTGCTGTGTGCCTGCCTGCCTGCCTGTCTGTGTGCCTGCCTGCCTGCCACCTGCCTGCCCTGCCTGTCTGTGTGCCTGGCCTGCCTGCTGTCTGTGTGATGCCTGCTGCCTGCCTGTCTGTGTGCCTGCCTGCTTGCTGCTGTCTGTTTGCCTGCCTGCTGCTGCCTGTCTGTGTGCCTGGCCTGCCCTGCCTGTCTGTGTGCCTGCCTGCCCTGCCTTCTGTCTGTGTGCCTGCCTGCCTGCCTGTCTGTGTGCCTGCCTGCCTGCCTTGCCTGTCTGTGTGCCTGCTGCTGCCTGTCTCTGTGCCTGTCTCTGCCTGCCCCCCTGGGGGTTTTTCTCCCTTGTGCCTTGCCTGCCCTGCCTGTCTCTGTGCCTGCCCTGCCTCCTGCCTGTCCTCTGTGCCTGGCCTGGCCTGTGCCTGCTGTCTCTGTGGCCTGCCTGCTGCCTAGTTCCTTGTGCCTGCCTTGCCCTGCCGCCTGCCTGTTCTGTGCCTGCCTGCTGCCCTTGCTGCCTGTCTCTTCTGTGCCTGCCTGCCGTGCCTGCTCTGGCCTGCCCTGCTGTCTCTGTGCCTGCTGCCTGCCTGTCTCTGTGCCTGTCTCTGTTGCCTGTCTCTGTGCCTGTCTCTGTGCCTGCCTGCCTGCCTGTCTCTGGTGCTGCCCTGCCCTGCCTTCTCTGTGCCTGCCTGCCTGTCTCTGTGCTGCCTGCTGCCGTGTCTCTGTGCCTGCTGCCCTGCCTGTCTCTGTGCCTTGCCTGCTGCCGTCCTCTGTGCTGCCTGCCTGCCTGTCCTCTGTGCTGCTCTGCCTTCTGCCTGCCTGTCTCTGTGCCTGCCTGGCCTGCCTGCCTGTCTCTGTGCCTGCCTGCCTGCCTGCCTGTCTCTGTGCCTGCCGTGCCTCCTGCCTGCCTCTGTGCCCTGCCTGCCTGCCTGCCTGCCTGCCTCTTGTGCCTGCCTGCCTGCCTGCCTGGGTGCCTGCCTGCCTGCCTGCCTGTGTGTGTGCGCTGCCTGCCCTGCCTGCTGTCTGTGTGCCTGCCTGCCTGCCTGCCTGTCTTGTGCCTGCCTGCCCTGCCTGCCTGCCTGTCTGTGTGGCCCTGCTGCCTGCCTGCCTGGTCTGTGTGCCTGCTGGCCTGCCTGTCTGGTGTGCCTGCGCTGCCTGCCTGCCTGTCCGTGTGCCGCCTGCCTGCCTCCTGTCGTGTGCCCTGCCTGCCTGCCTGCCTGTCTGTGTGCCTGCCTGCCTGCCTGCCTGTCTGTGTGCTGCTGCCTTACTGCCTGTGTGCCCTTGCCTGCCATAAACGCGCCTGCCGGATAGAGTCAGAGCCCGCCTGCCGTGCTGTCTTGGAGATGTCTGTGTGCTGCCTGCCGCCTGCCTGTAGCCGTACTGTGAATCGAATTTGTGTGTACGGTACGCGGTGTCGTCGTCTGCGTCGGCCGATATGACGTAGAGGAAGCGGTGATGGTGTGAGCCTGCTCGCTCGTCATTGACTCATAGTCTGTGCACGTGTGCGTCGTAGCGTCGTGCTGTCTCGCACATGACTTGGGTATGGATGTGTATTTGCATGCTAGTGATCTCTGTTGAGTATGAGAAGAGGAGTGCGCGGGCGAAACATGATGCACATGATTTGTGCGTGACACGTGTGCCTGCCTGCCTGCCTGCATCTGTCTAGACTGGTCGACTCATAGCTGGTATAGATAGATCTCGTGCTTATGAGACCTCGCCTGCCTGCTGCTCATTGGCGTTGTGCCTGCCTGCCTGCTCTGTCTCTGTGCCTGCCTGCCTGCTGTCCTCTGTGCCTGCTCTGCCTGCCTGCCCTGTCTCTGTGCGCTGGCCTGCCTGCCTGGCCTTGTCTCTGGGTGAGCCTTGCCTTTCCCAGTGTCACACGGCTGGGCGTGTGCCACGTGCTGGCCTGCCCTAGCGTATGACTGTCCTGCCTGTCCTCTGTGCCTGCTGCCTGCCTGCCCTGCCTGTCTCTGTGCTGCCTGCCTGCCTGCCTCTGTGCCTGCGTGCCTGCCTGCCTGCCTCTGTGCCTGCGTGCCTGCCTGCCTCTGTGCTGCTCGGCTCTCTCTTCCTCTTTCTCTCTCTCGTTTACTCTCTCCTTGTCGTCTCTCCGTTTCTCGTCTCTCTTTCTCTCTCGTCTTTCTCTCGTGCTCCTTTGCTCTCTCTCTTTCTCTCTCGTCTTTCTCTCTCTCTCTTTCTCTTCTCTCTTCTCTCTCTCTTTCTCTCTCCTTTCCTCTCTCTCTCTTTCTTTCTCTCTCTCTTTCTCTCTCTCTCTTTCCTCTCTCTCTCTTTCTCTCTTACCTCTCCGGTCTCTCTTGTCTGCTCTCTCTCTCTTTCTCTCTCTCTCCTCTTTTTCTCCTCTCTCCTCTCCTCTCTCTCTTCTCTCTCTTTCTCTCTCCTCTCTCTCCTTCTTTCTCTCGTCTCGTCTCTCGTTCTCTCTCTCTCGTCTCTTCAGTGTGTGTGGCGGTTCTCATCTCTCTCTTGTCTGTTCTCTCTCTCTCGCTTGCGCTTTCTTTCTCGTCTCTCTCTTTGTCTTCTCTCTCCTCT